ATGATAAGGTGAGAGTTATGATTGATGATAAGGTGAGAGTTATGATTGATGATAAGGTGAGAGTTATGATGAATGATAAGGTGAGAGTTATGATGGATGATAAGGTGAGAGTTATGATGGATGATAAGGTGAGAGTTATGATAGATGATAAGGTGAGAGTTATGATGGATGATAAGGTGAGAGTTATGATGGATGATGAGGTGAGAGTTATGATGATGGACGATAAGGTGAGAGTTACGATGGATGATAAGGTGAGTTATGATGGATGATGAGGTGAGTTATGATGGATGATGAGGTGAGAGTTATGATGGATGATAAGGTGAGAGTTATGATGGATGATAAGGTGAGACTTATGATGGATGATAAGGTGAGAGTTATGATGGATGATAAGGTGAGAATTATGATGGATGATAAGGTGAGAGTAATGATGGATAATAAGGTGAACAAAATCAAAACATTCTAGCATTCAGCAATATAAATATAAATAATTGAAAATAAATAAAAAATACAATGTTCGATCAGTATAGAATAAAATTATACAAGATGTGCAACTCTGGCATCATGTGCTAGTGTGTGCACAACAATCAACTTACAACTTCGGCAAATGAACCCGCTTTAGCATACTGGATGAGGTCAAAGGTGAAATGGTACCATGGAAAATAAAAAAGGAACACATGCCACATGCAAGGATTAAGGAAATGAAATGAAATTAAATTAAATTAAGGGAATTGAAAAGCAAAAAAAATTATATTATTTGATAATAATACACTAAAATAATAATTTGACAATTATCAATCACTGAGAAAAATAAAACAATACTGAAACTGCAGCCAATGAATACACTTACAGTCTCTGCCAATACAGATACATCAGTATCCTTTGGTAGGCCGAGAAAAATGAATTAGGAGCAATTAATTAACATACCTCTCACTGATCAAAAAATATGCAAAAACAATTATTTTATTTTTATAATTACGATTGATTTGGGTAGTGTAATTCAGATTTGAAATGTAAATTATGGTCAATTCTGGTATGAATATATGAATTAGGTCCTGTTCTCATATGAATATACACATTTTGGTCAATTCTAGTTTGAATATGGAAATTGTGTGTTATTTGTCCCCAACTTTAAAACATGTATCATTCAGATAGATGAAAAGGAATATATGTAATGTACCAACATTAAAATAGGTGATATGATATAAACCAGACAGTCTAGGGTGCCTGCAGCTAACCTGCAGACCTTGGCATGCAATAGTGAGTCTGGGGTGACTGCAGCTAACCTGCAGATCTTGGCATGCCATAGTGGGTCTGGTGTGACTGTAGCTAACCTGCAAACCTTGGCATGCCATAGTGTGTCTTGGGTGACTGCAGCTAACCTGCAGACCTTGGCATGCCTAAGTGAGTCTGGGGTGACTGCTGCCTACATACCTTGGCATGCCATAGTGAGTGTGGGGTGAGTGTAGCTAACCTGCAGATCTTGGCATGCCATGGTGAGTCTGGGGTGACTGCAGCTAACCT